ACGCTCCTGAGTTCAAACAGTAAGGTTCCATCAAAGTAAGTAAACAAACATAAGTTGCTCACATAAAACAGTGATAAAGAATGTGAAACAGAAACTTATTTTAAAGTTTTAAGGATTTACTAACAAGTAAGTACAGTTCTTCAATGAAGTCCAAAGGATATTTGGACTATTTTCTTGCTTGTTCAGTCTTTCCATTCTGTGGCGCTATTTTGCCTGAATTCTTTCAAAAGAAAACATGAAAACATGTAGCCGAGTCTTCAAAGTGCCTCAGAGATTTTGTTTTCATCTCTAGAAGGAAAAAAACCTCTCACTTCTGTCAGCTTCTGTTTTGAGGAACTACATGATGTGGTCATGGGAAATTCAGAAATTTGAAATACATTAATATGTGCTTAAAATTATCAGAGACTGAAGACCTCAAAGATATGCAAGCATCTAACTGCCCTCCATACAAAAGAGTGACAGACTGATGGATCTGGTCCAGAAGGAATAAGCACCTCTGCCAGAGGGATGGAGCAGTATAGAACATGACTTGACTCCTTATGCAATGCGTGATGAAATTTTAATACTCAGCAGGCTGAGTAATGAACTGCTCAGAGTTTGCCAACAGGGAAACACTGTGGCATGGAAGAGTTCCCTAAGTTTTGTCCTACTTCATGGTCTACGCATTTTATTTGGCTTTACCAGAAGCCATTGATTCCCCCTTTGATTCACAGCCAAGACCCTGTTCCTGAAGAGAAGGCACTTAAGTCCTTTTGGTACAATTCCTAGTGAATATAGTCCCCTAACCCTCTAAAAAATTACTACCAATCAAGGATATGACGAAGAAAATTTACTTTGGGTATTTTGATGTGGCCCAGCTGTGAGATAGGTAGGCACAGAAATGATGAACACTATTAAAGCTGTGGTGTTTCCTCGCATGCCCAAAATCAATTCTTCAAGGTTAGAGAATGGTCCTGTGGAAGAACTGAGCATTTGTGTCCCTTCAGTTGAGCAAGACTTGTCGCAATCAGAGCTTTGGATAAGAGCAGTCAGTTCTGGCTAATCCAATCTCTTCTGAACAAACTGGCACATCTACAGGCAAACTACAGTACAGAGGTATCACTTTGTATCACAGCAACTATGAATGCCAGATTCCTTCCTGGTGACTTAGACCTGCCTCTCACCAGGCTTGATCAATCTGAGCTATGGAGCTATACCAGTGTAAGATACAGTGATTCCCATTAAGGATCTAGGCTGCATAATTCTGTGTGGAGTTGCGTTGTGCTGTGCAAATTCACCTCACGTTACTTTCTGGATCCCGATTTCTGTGACAAGAAAAGGTTATATAGGAAGTCCATAAGGACTGAAAATTGAGCTACATGGAGCTTCACAGCACAGCTGGATACACAACTCCTATGGGCCAAGCGTCAAATATGCAAGATGAGTACAGAAAGCAAAACTGAAGCCAGAAATAACAGCCCTTCAGCATGTTCCTAAAAACCTGGTTTCAAGGGCGCAATCTTAAGACTCCATGAAACTACTATCCCAAGGAGGTAAAGCTGAGATCAGTTTTCCTGATATCTCCACAATGAAGGGCACTGTAAGCACTTGTTATGTATATCTGCAGTTCTTTTTAGATGTTAGAGTAAGATACAGCAGAAAACACTACTGTAAGCTGTTTTAGCCTGACTAAAATTGCAGATATGGATAGCTGCTCCATGTACTAGTTTTAGATACTTGGGTACTAACAGACATAGATAACAAATATTAACAAGAAAAATTCCTTTTAGATATTTTGAATTATTTTAAAGCGGCAAAAAAATTTCTAACTTCCCAACATTAAAATATGCTGATTATAATCAGTCCAGTTTGATTATTCCTTGATAAGGAAAAGCATCTGAATAATAAACCTAGGTGTCATCAGACAACGGTGACATCACTGAAGGATGTATATTCACTTCTACTGTAGACTTACAGGTAGGATTTCACTTTGAATAATGACAGTATTTAAAATAAATGCAACTGATTTAAAGATTGTTTTAAAAAGCTCTTTACCAATAAAAGCTTAGTAATAACAGCTATAAGTTCTGATTTTAGCTTGTGTTCTGCCAGAAAAGGATGCTTAAAACAATTAATTAATTATTCAGTAGCTGAATAAAATAAAGATGGCAAAATCTTCAAATTACCCTGTATCAGTAAGAAACTTATTTTTAATGCATTTACTGTTTGCCATGAAATTAATCACCTTGCTTTAAAGCAGGTATGTCTACAAAGCTTAGCTTCACATGGTGTTATATCTATGAAAAAAAGTATTTTTAAGCAAGCCTCTTCTGCCCCCACAGACTCCAAAAGACTTTAAGAAGTTAGGTACCTTTTTTCTTAACACATATTATTCCAGTACATAGCTCTTTATCTTCTGAGCCTTCATCTCACTATACTATGTCAAAGGAACATTCTCAAATCTGGATGAGCACTGGAAAGTCAGCACAGCAGCCAGACATTTGACTTCACTTAATATTTGTGTTACTTCTGCCCCCTCCCATAATGATTTAGTATTTTTAAAACTAACAGAAAATTAAAGCTCATTTAATATGTATGGGAGAAACAACAACCCAACACAAACAACATTAGATTATTATTGATTTCCTTTTTAAATCACTTGTCAAGTCTAAGAACAGCTATCTAATTGTAACCTTCTGGACAACACTATTTCAAGTAGTTCTTAAAGTGTTTTTAGTTGAAACACTAGAAATTTTAAACTCTCATATGTAAAACATTTCTGGGGCAAATTACACATGTGAAAAATTTGCATGAAATCTCCTCAGTTATTCTGGGTAGTAGTTTATTCCACAGAGAGATTAGTAGTCAAAATATTAAACTTCTCAAATAACAGGAGTCTCTTAAGAAACAGCTGAGTGACCTTGATACCACTGATGACTCAAAAGTGTAACTTTACCAATAGGAAAGAAGTTCACCAAGAAAACATTTCCTTCCAAACAAGAAATTTCCCAACCTCTGTATCACTGGCTGGAATAATCCTAAAATAATAGTATTATTCAAACATAGCTCAGTATTATTCAAACATAGCTCAGTATTATTCAAACATAGTTCAGATAGCTTTTTTGAAATGCAGTCATACCGTACGTAAAATTTAAAGTGCTGGGGGAGTGCACTTAAGGTGCAAATATAGTACTGTACTGCATTGCCAAGTACTACCTACTCTGTGCTTAAATAATTCTAAGTAATATAGTTTCTCTAATGTTAACATTAGTCTAGTTGGTGGGGAAGATTATATAGAATAAAGTAAGATTTTATCTTAGGGAGTTAATTCTCACTTGATTTATTAAAAATGTTTATATTTAAGTCAACTTCACGTACAGCTTCTGCTGAATTAGTGAAAGATTCTTCTGACTTCTGCCATTTTAATTGAACTGTTACATTCAGTATTTTTGTTGCATCTTTGGCATTCTACTGAATAATTATTTCCTACTTATCATGGAAAACAATCATTTATTTGATTGTAGTCTGAATTGCTTAAACTGAGGAAGAGTTTCTTCCAGCAGCGATAGATACTTTTTGTAGTTTTTCTACTAGTATCACACAAAACTTGGCACTAAGCGAGGCATATCATATTTAATCTTATGTATTCAAAAGATATCACACTTAGTATTTCCACTGATAAAAACAGAAGATATGTCTATACAACATATTTTTTTCTTGATCCTTGACACTCAAGTACTATCGTCTTTCATTTATCAGGTTCACCTGAGAAAACAAAGAAACTAGTACCAAGAAGCTCAAAATTACAAAATCTTTACTTGCACCAAACTGACCAAGAGATCAGCTTCCTTTTGTTACAATTTCTTAAATAATCTCGCCATCATCCAAACAATGTGCCAGAACAATTTCTTGAAGTGAAGAAAGCTGATGTTTAGAAGAAGAGAGTGACTCATATTTTATCATTACGTTTTGATTTCAGATCAGCCGCTTTAAGTAATTATCTCTAAAGCTTTTAATACCTTGAATGATGAAATTATGATAAAACAGTCTGCTGGTTTTGGCTGGGATAGAGTTAATTTTCTTCATAGTGGCTGGTATGGGGCTATGTTTCGGATTTGTGCTGAAAACAGTGTTGATAACAAAGGGACGTTTTTGTTACTGCTGGGCAGTGCTTACACAGAGTCAAGGCCTTTTCTGCTTCTCACCCCACCCCACCCCACCAGCGAGGAGGCTGGGGGTGCACAAGAAGCTGGGAGGGGACACAGCTGGGACAGCTGACCCCAACTGACCAAAGGGATATTCCACACCATGTGTCAACATATAAAACGCTGGGGGGAAGAAGAAGGAAAGGGGGGACGTTTGGAGTGATGGCGTTTGTCTTCCCAAGTCACCGTTATGCATGATGGAGCCCTGCTTTCCTGGGGATGGCTGAACACCTGCCTGCCCATGGGAAACAGCAAATTAATTCCTTGGTTTGCTTTGCTGCTTGCGTGCGCTTTTGCTTTAGCTATTAAACTTTATCTGAACCCATGGGTTTTACTTTTTTTTTTTCCCCTTGATTCTCTCCCCTATCCCACTGTGGGCTAGGGCGAGTGAGAAGCTGTGTGGTGCTTAGTTGCCAGCTGGAGTTAAACCACAACAAACAGGTTCACAAAATTTACCAATACATCTCTGCAAATATGAAGCTAAAAAGCTCTGGCTGAAAATTACAGCTGTATTGGTAGTGGAAACAGGAGTTTTGCTGTTAATCCATTCAGACTACAGCAAATCAATGAATTCCAAATGTGACTACTATTTTGTTACTGGACAAACCAGATACCAAATTGCATGAAATTAAGCATCTTCTTGAATTTTCTTTTTGAAAAGCAGATCAAAATCCAAATTTTCAAACTCTGCTAAAATCTCAAGCTCCCTGGTGTATAATTTCTTTACAAAAAGATGATCAATCTTGTTCTCAGTGGTAATTCGTAACAGCAACAAAATTAATTACATTACAAAGACATTAACAATTCGTACATTACCTAATGCTGCTCATGCTTCCAGTTTCTGATCCAAGCTTACATCTCTCCAGCTGGCTAGCTACAATCTGACGTTCAGCCTCAAGTTCTCGAGTCAGTCTCTCAAACTGCAGTTCCTGAAAAAATAAATTAAATCATTTGGTTTGACTTCTCTTGAGATTATGAAGGAATTTCAGTACAGAAAATGATAATTTGTGCAAGAACTGATAGTATAAATATCTTATAGGAAAGCTTTTTTTTTTCGTTTTTAAACAAATTTGCAGTTAAAATTTTTTGTGGTAACACCTACTCGTTCCTTCATTCACTCTAACGATATATGTCGTAGAATGAGCCGGTTTATCAGGAATGGAATTTCCAAATACATTGAACAACTTAGACCTACGTCAAAATCATTCATAATTCACGTAGACCTCTTAGTAGCTACAAATGTGTTCTTAACAAGCTGATCTAAGTATGATCACAAATGAGAATAATTTGTGTTACTTAAAAAAAGATGCAAAGTTCTGCAGATGATCATGCGGTGACAAAAGCTTTTGTACTCGAAAAGACAACCATCACAGTACACACTAGCGAAATAAACCAAACTGAAGGTCTGTTGTTATGGACTGAACACAATTTAGTTTCTGCATTTAATGATGTGCAGAAGTGAAACTTAAGTAGTTTTGGACAAAAGCCGTGTTAAAAATCCTACTACTAATTGAATGCATTTCCTTTTATTCTGTCAAGGAAGCCAAACCAGATAAGATTTATCCATAGATCTTATAAATGTACTTCTAAAGAGTTTTTGTTTTTATAGACAAGAAATTATTATTAAAAGAAGGAAAAAAAAAAGAAGCAAAACCAATACAAGTAAAATCCCCACTATGCCTTAAAGATCTACATTTCCCACATATGGTAGCAGTAGTTTTATCAAATACAAAATTGAAACATTTTTAGGGAATTATGTTTGTTGTAAATTTGCCAAGTGTTGCTGCCCTTTCATTTTGGTCATAGTTAACATTAAGTCATTTTCACAAGTAAATAGAAACAGCTCTCTTGCCCCTTTTCTTTGGGTTTGTTGAAGGCCGAAGGAGAAATATTTTGAGAATCCAGTTGTTAAATTATTCCTGTGTCCACACAAATGCACCCATTATCTTTTTCTCCCTCTTTTCTTTCAAAAAAGACCTCCCTGTAATGCAGATGTATAGGAGAGAGTCCCTTGAGGAACTCCCCAGCAATGTCTTGCCTAGCAGAAAAACAGCACTGGAAATTACTTGGGTCACAACTTACGTCCACCAAGTTCCACTGAAGAACTCAGTATTTGAGAGAAAGCAAGAAATGGTAGGAGTAGAGAGAACGATTCGAAAGTCTTCATCCCATCTGCTACCTAAAACCTCTGACCAAGAAGCCAAGGGTAAATGGAGGCATTAAACTTTTCAAATCTCTGAAACAAGGCAAACCATAACTGAAATGGAAGAAGGAAATGGCTGGTGGTTGTTCTACCTAATGCAGCTGGATCAGTCCTCTTTGTTTCTCTTGTTATTGGCATGGAATAACTTCCGCCCTGCACTACGAGTAAGGGGGGGAAGTCCACGCAGGTTATGTACAGCACAAAATAGCCAGTGTATACTTAAATGGCCACTGACTATTTGACAAAGCCTACTTAATTCTGTATTAATTATTCCAAGCAAGACTATCCAGAGTACAATAATACCATCAAGAGTCAGATTGATGTAAAGAGCAAAACATCACTGCTCACTGAATGTTAATAGTGCATTAGTAATCACAGTTAATAATATTCTCTGCACGTTTTTGTAGTACTCAAAAATGTCTTTTTCATTGTTGTTTGTAGATAGGACTATTAAAAATCACCTACTAATAATCACCTATTTCAGATATGCCTACTTCACAGAGAACATTTGTCTCTCACCTAGTCGAATCAATTCTCTGAAAAACTGAAGAGACTGTTGATCAACTTTCCAAGAGTTATTATTCAAATCCTAGCCTTGTTTCAATAAAATACCCTTACTGCAGGAAGGATTGTAACAGAAATATTACTACAGTTTTGAGGAATGTAAAATCAAAGCGGTATACTATTTTCTATGCTAGCATGCTTATATCAAAGCATGTAAGCACTGAGAAATTTTGATAGTATAATATACCAAACAAAACCAAAAAGAGCATTAAGTTTACTTTCAAAATAAAAGCAAAAGCTTTAACAGCTGTTCTGTTCCACTGCATTTTTCAAGTTACTTGATTCTACCATGGCAATGATATCAATGCACATTTTGACGCCTAGCGTACGTTTTCATCCAGCCAGCTTCACTTCCCGCCATCCCAGGTGAGGCAGGTCAGATGTGTTCTTTGCCATGGCCTTGCAGAGGGCACTTTTTTTACCTGCCTAGTGAGAAGATGCAGCTGTCCTCATAACGTTACTAAGAGAACGTAAGAATCAAGGACTTGGGAGCTAATGCTCTCGACTGTCCATGCTGTCACTTGCCTTTTCCCAGACAGAGAAGTGTAGCCCATTGTCTCCTTTTACTCTAGTAGGTGTGCAAACAACCTCTCTCCAGCACCCTTTCATCCATACTATCCCAAGCCAACTAAATATAGAAATGCCCCCAAACCTATTTTATTAAAATACTTTAAAAGTAAATACTATTTTGCCTTTTTCTTTTCTTCTGCTATCTGGATTGTATATCTTCTCATATAGTTTCTATGCTTCGTATTCCTTCAGTTAATCATTCTGGTTGACTACCTTCCAGACACGTCTGCATTTTCCCAACTAACACCCTCATGTCATGATTACTTTGTCTACAGAACATTTTTTTGCTCATGATTTTAGTCTCCAAAATATAGTTTTCTACTCTTGACTCTGTCATTTATCTTTCTTTCCTACTTATTCCTTTCTGTTCTCTTCTGCATTCCATCTTTCTTTCATTTCCTAGCATACTTCATGACTCATCCTCCACTAAGCTCTTTCAGTCCTACTATACAAATTGCCACTCTAGCAAATGCCCTAAAATGATCGGTTTAATCAGCCTCTCTCTCTCTCTCTTTCTTTTGATAATTGGTCCCTTATTGAGGGAACTCTGCTCTTCTTAAGATGTAGAAATTAATGTTTTCTGGTTTCACTGCCCACATTACTTAAGTCCTGCCCTGCAGAAATGACTGGAAAAGGACAGTTGTGTGTATGTTCCTCCTCAAACAGGAAGAAGAGATGTGCTGGATCACTTAAGAAAAAAATAATCTTGGGTTTCTAATGCATGAAAATGGCTAGAATAGGTGAACAGTAACTTCACTATAGCTTGATTTAATTGCTGCTATTTCTCACTTAATTGTCTTCTGTCAGGTGCCATCAGAAGTTAGGGACGGAAGGAAGGAGATGAAAGGTGGGGGAGTGGGAATATGTGAAGGGGCAGAGCCAAACAATTATTACCTCAGAATTATCCTCTACATTGAATTTAACAAACAACTGTGTTAGGTATTCCCTCATGTGATGACAAAGGTGCAGGTCCACAGGGTTGCCTTTGGAATGAAAGAAGAAAAGAATTCAAATAAGAGTCGGGAGAGTCTGCTATCCCTCCGTATCAAGAATCCCTGGCAGAAAACAAATTAATAAGCTCCCTTCTCTTTGTTCGGGAAGCAGTGAGAGTGACTAATATTTGAATAAATCCATATGTTTAGATTTCAAGCAGCTGTCACAGTGCAAGAAGACAGAAACTAGAAATAGTATTTGCTTACATGTTATAAAAATAACCACTGAACCTGACTCCGTCATTTGTCTTATTTGTTCTGCTTACAATCATTTTCACCAGTTCATGCCATGTTGTGTTATCTTTACAACCTTCTATGATTTATCTGAATCAAGCTAATCGGAACATCAAAATTAAAACCAAATGCCTACCCACTGATTATGCAAATCTGTTATCAAGACAATTGCAGAATGAAGAACTGCAGAAACTACACTGCAACATCAAAATTAATTTAAGTAATGCCACGTCAAGTGCAGCTTCATGGACTGTGCTACAAAGGGCAATGATGCCAAAGCAAGTGTACATGTAAAGACACTGCAAAGTGAAATGACCAGTCTGGCAGTCCTTAGCACTTAGCACCATAAAGGGTGTGGGAGTAAGAAGCCAACAGAAAGATTAGAGATAATGATGAGAGTAATCCAGAGAAATCACTCAAGAAAGCGGCTTGGAAAGGGAGGAACTTCATGATAACTTTATCGAGTTGTTTTGGAGTGATAAAAGAGTATGGATCTGCTCAGGCCTGAAGCAATTTATGTTTAAAAGTGGTATTTGTCCACTACCATGAGGTTTTTTTGTAAAAAATATTCATTATTCCATAGACAGCAATTGGACATATTTGCCTTTCCAGTATGAGATTTATGTTTTATCTACCCTCTGCAGGCACCAAAACTTCAAGCATTAAAAAAAGACTTGAGTCAGGTCATACGTTTCACAGTGGTCCAGAAACTGAATAAGCCTGATGGAAATCTTCACAGCCTTCGGACAGGTTATGAACTCCTGAGCTCAGGGCACACCAAGTAAAAGGGTATTTGGTTATTTTTATTTGAATGTTGGGAGGGGTAAAACAGGTCAAAAGAAATTTGGCTGATATTCAGAGATGATCTCACTTTACTCTGTCTTTTACGATCTTAAAGTAATCCTTCAAATCCTTTCACAGAGAGATGTGTATTGATGCTGAGCAAAAGATAGCAAAATCAGCAGAGATAGTAAAAAGCAGCTGACAAAAAAATAATGTATCTAAATTTAGGCTGAACAGCCTTGTGGATTTATTGAATTCCCAAGAATCTTAAGGTCATAACATTAAAAGAGGAAAAGCGCTTAGCTTTTGACTGTAAATATGCTATATAAAAACAAATTGGTGCACTGATGATCATTTGAATCTTCAAATACAGACAAATAACAGCACTGAGGTAAGGCTGGGAATCCCTGGTGAGATGAATAGAGAAAGCCTGATTACAGCTACACAAATAAATTGTCTCCTGGATTGAAGTCTTTCATAGAGTATCTTCGAAACCACAGAACTTCCTAAAGTACATAGGCTGTAGAAATGTACAACATTGGCTCTATCTTGTTATAGCCTATTAAACAAGAAAAACTGTACC